CAAATCGTGAAAAGGAAAAATTTTAACTTAAGAACTTGAAAAATTAAAAATCAAAAGATTAAAAATTTGTTAAGTTAAAATTTTGAAAAATCAAAAGATTGGAATGAAAAACTGCAAAATTGTCAAACAAATTAACAAATGAAATATTCAAAAGTTGAAACATCTAAAAACTAAAAAAAAATGAAAACTGGAATTTCGAATTCGATTTTACAAGAATTGTTTTTTTTTTTTATTTTTCGATATTTCAGTTTTTGATTTTCCGATTATACAGTTGTACAATTTTCCGATTTCTCATTTATCCGATTTTTCAGTTTGTCATTTTTACTTCCCGAGCGTAAGCAAAGGAAGTATTGTAATCGAGTCCGTCGGCCGACTCTCTACTTTTACGTTTTCTCGATCTTTCATGACCCCTAGAAGACGAAGAAATAGGTCTCCCATTTCCGTCTGTCTGTCCGTCTGTCCGTCCGTCTGTCCGTCTGTCCGTCTGTTGTCCCGGATTTTTATTAGACAGATAATCTCCGAAAGTACTCGACCGATTGTTGTGAAATTTTGTACTTATATTAAGAATATCATGTAGATGGTAAAACGCTAACCAAAATTTGTCTAATCATCCCCACTACTAATGCGATGACGTCACTTCAAAATTGTACATAGTAAATGGGTTTTCAATTGTATAAAATAACATAGTCCTACACATGTAGTTTACAACTCTGAATCGACTTTTCACCCGAAACGTCCAGATTTTTGGAAAAAAAATCAAAAGTATAAAACAACATTTTGAAATTTAATTTTTAATCTGCTAACCAGAATGCTTTGAAATGTTGCAGATGTTTTAAGGCTATAAAGAGCATCATAAATCTTTAGTCAAAAAATATTTGCTTATCCCCTCCAAAAACTTGATGGCGTCAGCGCAAAAGTTTGCCCAATAAATCATATCTAAAATGTACAAAATATGATGAGTCTGTACTTGTGATCTATCACTCCATTCATATTTTTTGGATTTGCATATACAGGGTGACTCAAAAAAATTAATGAATGCGTAAATATATTTTATTGATTTAATCAGGCACTACAAAACCGAATGCTCTGAAATCTTGCAGATGTTTTAAGGTCATAAAGAGCATAATAAATGTTTAGTCAAAATATATTTGCTTATCCCCTCCAAAAACTTGATGACGTCAGCTCGAAAGTTTGCCGAATAAATCATATCTAAAATGTACAAAATATGATGAGCCTGTACTTGTCATTTATCACTCCATTCATATTTTTTGGATTTGCATATACAGAGTGACTCAAAAAAATTAATGAATGCGTAAATATATTTTATTGATTTAATGAGGAACTACAAAACGGAATGCTCTGACATCTTGCAGATGTTTTAAGGTTATAAAGAGCATAATAAATGTTTAGTCAAAATATATTTGCTTATCCCCTCCAAAAACTTGATGACGTCAGCTCGAAAATTTGCCGAATAAATCATATCTAAACTGTACAAAATATGATCAGTCTGTACTTGTGATCTATCACTCCATTCATATTTTTTGGATTTGCATATACAGGTTGATTCAAGAAAATAAATGAAAGCGTAAATTTATTTTACTGATTTACTCAGGAACTACAAAACCGAATGCTTCGAAATCTTGCAGATGTTTTAAGGTCATAAAGAGCATAATAAATGTTTAGTCAAAATATATTTGCTTATCCCCTCCAAAAACTTGATGACGTCAGCTCGAAAGTTTGCCGAATAAATCATATCTAAAATGTACAAAATATGATGAGCCTGTACTTGTCATTTATCACTCCATTCATATTTTTTGGATTTGCATATACAGAGTGACTCAAAAAAATTAATGATTGCGTAAATTTATTTTATTGATTTAATCAAAAAGTACAAAACCGAATGCTTTGAAATCTTGCAGATGTTTTAAGGTTATAAAGAGCATAATAAATTTTTAGTCAAAATATATTTGGTTATCTTCTACAAAAAACTGATGACGTCAGCTCAAAAGTTTGCCGAATAAATCGTATCTAAAATGTACAAAATATGATGAGTCTGTACTTGTGATTTATCATTCCAATCATATTTTTGGATTTGCATATGCAGGGTGACTCAAAAAAATTAATGAAGGCGTGAATTTATTTTATCGATTTAATCAGGAATTACAAAACCGAATGCTTTGAAATCTTGGGAATATTTTAAAGTTATTATAAGCATGGTAAATTTTTGTTCAAAATGTATTTGTTCATCCCTCCTAAAAAAATTGATGACGTCACCCTTAAATTTTGCTGAATACATCCTATCTAAAATGCAAAAAATATGATGAGTTTGTACTTGTGATTTATCATTCCATTCATATTTTTTAGATTTTCTTAAGAGGTGGTTCAAAAAAATTAATGAAGTCAATTTATTTTATTGATTAAATTAAAGGCAACACTTATTATTAGTATTACACCCCAACCAACCCAATTTGGTAGACACAAAATTTGTTAAAGGAAAAACTCGGTTGAAACATAAGGGTAGCACGCTTATTTACATCGACTTTAAAACATTACAGACCTGCATTTGTTTTATGCGCTCACTTGGTTCCGCGAATGTGAAATAGACATGTTTATAATCAACCAATTGTGAATTTCACCGTCAAGAATTAAAATAAAACCCAATGTTTTATATAATAAGCGGAAGTCGAAGCAATAAAACCGATGGTCGTTTTGTTTACAGTTTCTCTGTTTGACTCTCACGTATGCTGTTACGCCTGTCATCTTAAATTAAGAATGTTTATACATACACGATTTTCAGTTACCTCTGATACGTATACGTGAGTAAATTGTTTCGTTATTTTATTGATTATTACAAATCAATATTCAAAACGACCCAATTCATTTTCCCGAAAATTTGAGAATATAATAATTTTATTCTTAGTATTACACTATATCTATCCCAACTGATATACGTGTCCTTGCAAAAATGTTGATGACGTCATCGCAATTTTTTTTTAAATTCCCACTACAAAAATGTAATGAGAAAAAAAACACAATAGGCATGCAGTCTTCAAGTTTCCGACAGCGAGGGAAGTACTCTCTAAACTCTTTAGACCAATTTTTTGATTTATTTTTTTTTTATTTTTAGCAAGTGCTAACCCCAGACACCCAGCCTCTATTTTCTTAGAAGAATAAGTCATCTGCCAAAATCAGTCTTATCTTGGCAAGTACTAGCCGCCCGCCCACCCTCCCTTATTTTTGAGAGAATATGTCATTTGCCAAAATCAGTCTCATACTTGCCAAGATAAGATTGATTTTGGCAGATGACCTACTTTTCTAAGAAAATAAAGGGTGGGTGGGCGGAGCTAGTACCTTTCCTTGAAGAGTAGGTTTTTTGTTAAAATGAGTCTTATTTTGGAAAATACTGGCCTGGCCCACCCGCCTTTTATATTCTTAGAGGGTAAGTTATTTGGCAAGTACTACCATAGTGTAAAATGTCATTTTTGAAAAAGTTGTCTAAAAATTCTGAAAAAATTCGGACACGTATATATATTCCGACGTGCAATATTTTCGGAAAATTCGGTGTGAAATTCAATTTTTTTGAAATTTTTAAAAATTGCGATATTTTAATGGACCATTCTGGAAAAACGATTTAAGTTATCGAAGAAATAAAGCCAGAAGTGACTTCTGCAGCCCAAAATCTACATGGAAGTATTTAGTTAAATTTCGAAAATCGTCGAGAATGGGTCGAAATTTGCATAAGGGAGGTAATACGAATACGTCATGGGAAATTTCAATTTTGGGAAATTCGCTGATCCCAACAACTCGCTATTCCGAACAAACTTTTCCCCAATTAATTCGGATTATCGAGGTTATACTGTATTTGATATTTTTAAAGGCAATTTATTGAATCGTAGACCAAGGAATAAAATTATAGATTATTATGTACAGCTTTAAATATTTAAGATATGTTATATAATCCTATACTGTTACATTGTAAGATTTTTGTTTCTACACCTGTCCCATTATTATAATTATTATTAAAATGTCGTATTTTTTCAGCTGTCCCGTAATTTGTTTACTACTTCTTACCTTCAGCCCGGTTTTATCTCCACGGAAGCCGATAAAGTCTTAATCAATTATCTGGCTTCCGGTGGGCCATTAGTGTGAGATTTATTCGTGACACTCGTCCCCAGAGGAAAGTGTCAAAGTTCGCATTCTCTCGTCGATCGTTAACTAAAAATAAGACCGGAAGGAAAAGAGTGACTTGTAGTCAAAACAAAGGCCGCCGAGATAACACCGTCCGGACATGTAATTTCGGGATTACCTCCTCCTCTTTCACTCCTCGTACAGCTGAGATCCCTCAAGGTGATGCCTTTTATTAACGCCGTTCTAATGCGACACTAATCCGGATATTTTTCCGTTTGATATTAGCTCTATTATGACGTTCGAAGAAGTGTTTTCAAACACGGACAAATGATAGGTGTCGGGCTATTATTAGAGCTTTAATGGGGTTTTTGTGCGATTGTGCGACTTCCACACCCGTTACGAGGAATTTCTATTCACAATTTGGATTTTTCAAGTTTTTGCACACAGCAAACGTAACAAACATTTTTGAAAAAACCATTACAAAATTTTCCCCTTTACCAAACCTCGTACCGCGCCCCGAAAACAATAAAAACGTTACGCTCCACCATAACAAAAATTAAATTTCGCACAGTTCGCTTCACCCCATTCTGCTTCAACGATTTTAAATTCTGGCGTTTAACGAAAAAGGCTGCAACCCTTTTGGGCTATTGTGTCGAAGCAATGTTTTGGAAAAATCACACCAATTTAATTATGTTCTTGGCGTCGCCACCCAAGAAGGGTTGTGACTGGTTCTACGTGACGTAATAATTCTCCTTGAAATTATTGCAGACACATGTGCGATAATTTTCGCCGATTTGGGGAAAAGGGTGCAATGAGCATTGTATTCCATCGAGACACAGTTTTTATTTTAATAGAGGGGTTTATATGGACAGGGCGCACATAATTCTGTGAAATCGGGTCGGATGGAACGGATTTATCGAGATATGTCGGGAAATCGGGAAACGGGGTTGGGGATCGTATACACAGAAATACACTAACATTTAAATTAATATCACAAGTAACGACGATGAGGGCTGGGGCGGGATTAGGTCATCCGACGCTCGCTCCTGAAACAAACAGAAAAATTAATGTGGGGCTTGTTTTAATCATTGTTGTTACAATATCAAATTTATAGAATGAAAATTAGATTGAAAAATGTTTGTCAACTTCTATAAACTAAAAGCCAGTGGGGTAAATTTTGTCTTTTTGTGTTAATATGTTTAAAATCGAAAATCTGTATAAGGAAATATCGCTTTTGTAATTAAGCGCCACCTCACAATTACAAAATCTATATTTCCTTGCAAAAATGTACCATTTTAACCATGTTTTAAGTCTCTCGTTGTGAAAAGATGGCTATGTACATTAAGAAAAAAATAACAAAATACATGCCCCACCCACCCACCCTATCTCAATTCTGATGATTTTTTTATTCGTCGTGAGCCAAGAGGGCGAAGCTTAACTGCAAAATCCTTATTTCTCCACAAGAAATTAACGTTTTTGAGTATCGTGTTGTTTAAAGAATACTAAAATTATATACATGTATTAAAAAAAAATAAAGCCAAAGTTTAGGCCCATACGCGCCTCAGATCTAGAGGCGGGGCTTAATTACAAGATCCATATTTGTCTATAATAATTTACTATTTTAAACGTGTTTTAAGGTTCTTGTTCTGAAAAGACGACTACCTAGGTATGTTACGAAAAAAAGTCAAAATGTAAGCCCCGCCCACCCACCCTGTCTCGATTCTGATGATTTTTTTTAATCGCCGAGAGCCAAAATAGCAGAATTTAACTGCAAAATCCCTATTTCTCTAGAAGAAACTATTATGTAAGACATGTTTTTGAGGTTCATGTATTCAAAAAATACCTACTATGTCTATTATGAAAAAATTAAAGCCAAATTCCATATTTCCCTTCAAAAATTTCCATTTTAAACATGTTTTAATTTTCTAAGAATAAAAAAAAATCACAATTGAGATGCGATGGGTGGGCGGGGTTTATATTTAGCCTTTTTTCTTATTATAATATAGTATTCCTTGAATACTTCGATACTCAAAAACATGTTTAAAATTTGTTGTGTTTGTTGATTTTTCCATTTTTCAGTTTTTGGATTTCTCACCTTTTTTTATTTCTCGATCTTTCGATTTCTCGACTTCTGACTTTCAAATTTTTGGGTTTTTCAATTTTTCGATTGTTAAAATTTTTTATTTTTCCATTTTTCAGTTTTTTGATTTTTCAGTTATTTGATTTTTCTAATTTTCAATTTGTCGAATTTTTATATTTTAGATTTTTCACGTTTTTCAAGCTTTGATTTCTAGAGCTTTTAATTTTCCGGCTTCTCGCTTTATGTTTTTCGGTTTTTCAATTTATGATTTTTAAAATTTTGATTTTCCAATTTTTCGATTTATCTTTCTTTTTTAGTTTAAATATTTCAATTTTGATTTTTCGATTTTGGACTATTTCTATTTCTCAATTTTTTGATTTTTCGGTTTCTCGATTTCTCGTTTTTTCAGTTTTTCACCATTTCATTTTAGGATTTTTCAATTTATCGATATTTCAAATTTTAGGTTTTTCGATTCCTTGATTTCTGTTTTTTTTTTTGTTTTTTGTTCTTCAAATTTTACATTTTCGATTTGTTCATTTTTCAATTATACGATTTTTTGATGTTTCGATTATCCGATTTTATTTTTTTTAAGATGTATTCCAGTTTTTCGATTTTTCGAATTTGAAAATTTTCGATTTCTGGATTTTTCAATTTTTCGTAATTTTCATTTTTCAATTTATGAAATTTTAGATTTTTTTGATGTTTCAACTCCTCGATTTTTCTATTTTTCTATTTAGGTTTTCGGTTTTTTGATTTTTCTATTTTTAAAATTTTTCCATTGTTCGTTTATTAAATTTTTCGATTTTGCAGTTTTTGGATTCTTCATTTTTTAGATATTTTTATTTTTGACATTTTTTTTGATATTTCAATTTCCCGATTTTTCCATTTTTCAGTTCTTTGATTATTCTAGTTTTCAATTTTTCGTATTTTTATATTACGGATTTTTCAAATTTTAATTTCTCGATTTTGCAGTTTTTCGATTCTTCAATTTTTAGATATTTTAATTTTTCATTTTTTTTTTCTTTTGGATATTTCGATTTCCCGACTTTTTCATTTTTCAGTTCTTTGATTGTTCTATTTTTTGAATTTTTATATTTTTTGACGTTTTGATTTCCCGATCTTTCGATTTTTCGACTTCTCGCGTTCAGATTTCTGGGTTGTTCAATTTATCGATTGGTAAAATTTCGATTTTTCAGTTTTCCGATTTTTCAATTCTTCCACCTTTGATTTTTCAATTTTTCGATTTCTAACTTTTTTTTTATCTCGAACTTTCGATTTCTCGACTTCTGACTTCCAGATTTTTTGGTTTTTCAATTTTTCTGTTGTTAAAGTTTTTTATTTGTCCATTTTTCAGTTTTTGATTTTTATATTTTTCAATTTGTCGAATTTTTATAACTCAAATTTTTCACTTTTTTGAGGTTTTAATTTCTTGAGCTTCTGATTTTCCCACTTCTCGCTTTAGTTTTTCAGTTTTTCAATTTTTGATTTTCCAATTTTTCAATTTATCTTTCTTTTTTAGTTTAAATATTTCAATTTTGATTTTTCGATTTTTGGGTTTCTCGATTTTCCGATCTTTTTTGAAGGTTTTCGATTTTTCAGTTTATCACCATTTCATTTTAGGATTTTTCAAGTTCTCGATATTTTAAATTTTAGGTTTTTCAATTCTTTGATTTCTCTTTTTTTTCGTTTTTTGTTCTTTAAATTTTATATTTTCGATTTGTTCATTTTTCAATTTTACGATTTTTTGTTGTTTCGATTTTCTTATTTAAAATTTTTGTATGTATTCCAGTTTTTCAATTTTTCAAATTTTGAAATTTTTGAGTTCTTGATTTTTCAATTTTTCGATATTTTCATTTTTCAATTTATGACATTTTCATTTTTCAATTTATGACATTTTAGATTTTTTTGATGTTACAACTCCTCGATTTTTCGATTTTTCTATATGGGTTATTCGGTTTTGAGTTTTTCTATTTTTAAAATTTTTCCATTTTTCGTGTACTAGATTTTTCGATTTTTCAATTTTTTTAATTTTTTGATTTTTCGAATATTCGACATCTCGCTTTCTCGATCTATTAATGATATGTCACCTTCGGGATTTTTCAATTTTGGGGGTTCTTAATTTTTCAATTATTTTAAATTTTTTAAATTTAAGATTTTTCGACTTTTCATTTTTTTAGTTATTCAATTTTTTTGATCTTTTGATTTCTCGATTCTTCATTTTTTAGATTTTGTAATTTTTGATTTTTTTTTTCTTTCGGATATTTCGATTTCCCGATTTTTCCTTTTTCCAGTTGTTTGACTGTTCTATTTTTCAATTTTTTGTATTTTTATATTTCGGATTTTTCACTTTTTTGACGTTTTGATTTCCCGATCTTTCGATTTTTCTATTCCTTGCTTTCAGATTTTTAGGTTTTTCAATTTTTCGTTTGTTAAAATTTTGATTTTTCAATTTTTAGACTTTTTGAATGCCTGTTTTTGAATTTCAGGTTTTTTGGTTTTTTGTTTGCTAAATTTTACATTTTCGATTTCTTCATGTCCAAATTTTATGACTTTTGTGTTGCTTCGATTTCCAGATTTTAATTTTTTTAAGATGTATTCCAATTTTTCTATTTTTCGAATTTTAAAATTATCAATTTCTGGATTTTTCAATTTTTCGTTATTTTTAATTTTAAATTTTTTAAATTTTATTTTTTTTTGATGTTTCGATTGCTCGAGTCTCCGATTTTTCAACTTTTCGGATTTCGATTTTACGGTTTTCCAATTTATTGATTTTAAATATTTTTGATTTTTCCATTTTTCAATTTTTCGAATTCACTTTTTTTTATTTCTCGATCTTTCGATTTCTCGACTTCTGACTTCCAGATTTTTTGGTTGAGACAGGGTGGGTGGGCGGGGTTTATATTTAGCCTTATTTCTTAATATAATATAGTATTCTTTGAATACTTCGATACTCAAAAACATGTATAAAATTTTTTGTCCAGAAATAAGTATTTTGCAATTAAGCTGAGCCCCCCTGGTTTACGGCGAATAAAAAAATCATTACAATTGAGACAGGGCGGGTGGCCGGGCTTACTTTTTGCCTTTTTGTTTTAGTATGTGCAGACTTCTTTTCACAACATGAAACTTAAAACATGTTTAAAATAGAAAATTTGTATAAGGAAATATCGATTTTATCATTGCAAAATATATGCCCCGCCCACCCTCCCTATCCCAATTCTGATGATTTTTCTTATTCGTTTAAGCCAAGGGGCGGAGCTTAATTGTAAATTCCTTATTTTTCTACGAGAAAGTACCATGTGAAATATGTTCTTAAGTCCTCGTGTTATACAAAAAAAAAACAAATGTATTATTTAAAAAAGAAAACCAAAAGAGAAGCCCCACCCATCCATGTCGATCTCTATCGTGATAAATTTTTCATTCGTGGTTAGAACGAGGGGCGGAGCGTAATTGCAAAATCGATATTTCCCTATACAAATTTACCATTTTCTAAGTTTTTTGTTGTGAAAAAAACAACTAATATTAAGAAAAAAACAGTACAAAATCGAAAAACTAGAAATCGAGAAATTGAAAAATCAACGGTGGAGAAATTGAAAAATCGGAAAATCGTAATATCCAGAAATTATATATAAACAATCGAAAATCGAGTGTTCAAAAAAATTAAAAATCGAAAAATTGAAAAACTGAAAAACCGAAATCCGAAAAGTTGAAAAATGGAAACAACACGCACGACATTTCAAAAAAATGTTAAATATAAAAAACCGAAACTGAAAATATCGAAAAATTGAAAAATTTTAGAATCGATAAACTGAGATGTCGAGAGATCGGAAATTCCAAATATCAGGAAGTTGAAAAATCGAATATTTGCAGAATCGAAAAACTAAATATTGATAAATTGAAAAATCAAAGTGGAAAAGTTGAAAAATCGGAAAATTGGAAGGTCGAATAAACATCAAAAGGTCGGGAAAT